AAATATATAAGTGTCACACACAAGTGTTAGAATATTAGTTTTATTCTTGTATCTTTGCTGGTTTGTATTAGCAGAATAAAAGAGTTGATAAACATTTTGTGTATATATTTTATGTCCTACTTTTTAAAAAGAAAGCTTACCAAGTTAAATAATATAAAGCACATTTTTAAAATAAGGGAGTGGAGATGAATTAGTTACTACCAGTGAGTCCTGAATTCTGCTTATAAGTTTCTGAAGATTCAGGCAAGTAGCATACTTTTAGTTTTAGAGTTACATACACAGTTCTCATTGTGCAATAATGAAAATATGGAGGTTCCTCTACAGTGTTAAACATTTTAGCATTGTTTTAGCACTCTAAGAGAACCAGTGAGAGTAACATACCAAATCTAGTTTTCAAATATGCTTTTTCAAAAGTTTTGGAACACTGAGTGTGGTGTTCCAGTACTGCACATCATTAAATGCAGAGGGCTTTTACCCATAACCTCTGTCCCATGTCAAGTAGGGTGACCTTTGAGTGTGGGGCCACCTCCCCTACGGTACATCCGTTAGTATGGGAAGCTCTGGATCACATCTGATCTGCCAGAAAACTGATCAGTTCCTCCTTTCTGAGTATAATCAGCTTTGCAAGTCTTCACAGAACTTGGGTCCTCTTACACTCTTTAAAGGAAAAATGGTAAAATGACTAAATAACATGATAGAATATTGCCATTTTAAATTTCCCATAAAAATGCCAAGATTCAAGTGAGGTACCTCATCTAAATTACAAGAGAATAAAAATTACCAAAGATAATATTGGCAATTTTATTAAAGGAACTCAAAACTAACACAGCAAAAAGGAGCTTCCTAAGTCATTCAGTTTCAGGTGAGTATCCAGACAGGTAACATAAACCAAAGCGTCAGGAGAATCCTGGATTCCAGACAGTCTGTCAAAGACGTGTTCTCAGGGCCACTCACCGGCTTCAAGCAGACAGGGAGCTAACACCAAACTATAACCCTTTGACTCTTGACATTCAGCCCCACATACTACAGACGTATGAAATGCAATCTGATTTGGCAGAAGTCTGCAAATCAAGGTTTTACCAACATTGAACTGCCACTCACTCATATTTAATTAACATAGAATCAAAGAAACTTATAGCTGAGAATGACTATATAATTTGGTCTAATTCATTTTTTGAAGAAACAAAAACCCAAAGAACTTAGAGTCATGTGACACCTAAAGAGCTGAGTTCCAGGAAGGTTGGGACAAAATCCCAGAATTTTAGACCCTATTCCTTTCTCTTAAAAAAATCTCAGGGAGATAAATGAATGTTAATCAAAACTAAAATAGCTGTGACCAAAAAGAGTTTTTGTCTTTTTCTTTCTGCTTAACCCTAAACTGCATCAGCAGGGTTTAAATTATTATTCTGGAACAAACAGTACACCCAATTATAACTGTAGAATACTGTATCTTACAAGTTAAATCCTGTCCTGATTTCTAGGAAACTATCCAAATTCTATCACTGTCCTAGAACTTACTTTCTGAAGTCTTATTTATAATCAATGAGCCACATGGAGAGTTTTATAAATATTTTATTTTGTAAAAGGTTTTATAAATTATATTTATTCTCAGATTTCTATATATGCTATGCAAAAAAAGAGGATTTAAATTAACTGATGTTTCTATTAAAACTTTGAGACAAGGTAAACATTAAAATAATTAGAAAATGACTGCTACTTTTCACCAAGAAAAATAAAGACATTCCTGGCTCCAGACCAGACCACGATGGTGTTAAACACTAAGGGTCACTCAGCACGGTACTGAGGGAAGTAGATCTTCAGAACAGTCTGTTTTACAGACACAGTGGGTGGCGAGTACAGACACTGCCAAAGGCAGTCCCCTTATGAGCAGGGCACTGAGAGAGAGAGACAGAGACAGAGACAGAGGGAGAGACAGAGACAGAGAGGAAGGATGTGGGAAGGGGGGTACAGGGACATTGGTATTTGGATCTGATTTTGCATCTCAGATTTATTCTCTGAACTATGGAAGGTCTAAGGGCAGCAGAATGCCACGATTTCTCTTGTTTTTGATGGCAGTTTGAAGGAGGGAAGAGGGAATAGTGGAGGCACCCCCTCCCTGGAGCTGGGGGATGCTGAGGGTTTGAACTGGGTACCAGAGCAAGGAACACATGAGAGGACCGGGGGCAGCAGGAGGCACTGTTCATGCACGTGAACACGTGGCTGGGGCACAGGAGGAGCACCACCTCCTCACGAGAACAGCACAGGTTTTCTGCATCACCTGGATTCCTTTTCACACATATCAAACATACCCTATGTGCCGTGTGTCACGCGATGTCATACAGGCATGGACCAGTCCCTACTCAGACCCACTACGGACCACCCTGTCTAGTCTCGTACTGCAGTGTGTATGTGTGTGTGTGTGTGTGCATGCGTGCATGCAGGGGGCGGGAGTAGCTGACTCTTGCACCTTCTCACACCAGCACAGTCTATTAGGAAGGTCTTACATGGCTCTACTGGGAGAGCATTAAATGACTATATGCCAAAAAGTGAATGGATGAATGAAGCTGTATTTAAAATTCTCAGAAAGTTTGGTGGTTTTAGGCAACAAAAAGGGTGTGCTATGCAAACAAGAGAAAGGGATGAGGATTCTTGATTTCAAGTCTAAGTAATCATTTACATAGGAAACCCAGAAGAACTTGATTTGATGTTTGCATAATAAGTTAAAGTACTAGAAGGACAACAAGGATGTGTAGAAAAGCTGAGTAAGAGCTGTGGCTCTGCACAGGTGTCATGTAACCTCAAAGTGATTGAAAATATGATGGCTGGAGACACACAGAAAGCAAAGTGTTGTAATCTCAGTATGTTATTGTCTAGGGTTGGCCAGGGCAAAGCCTGGTGTCCAGACTTCAATGTGGAGCCCAGGAAGACTGGAGATAGAGACTAAAGAGGAAGCCTGTAGTCAAGTCAGATTTTGCACAAGGGCTGGGAACCAAGATGAAAACCAGTCTTAAGATAAGGGATCAAAAAAAAAAAGCAAAAAACGATTACAAGGTGAGTCCAAATACAGACAGTGCTGAACTAACAGCAGAGCCCCGTTGCCTTCCTCCTGAGAAGCACTTTGCATTTCTTAGGAGAAAACCCTTGAGGGGAGAAAATACAGCTGATCATGGCTGATTAGGGATTTCATCTACTTTTCATTTAAGTCTCAAGATTTATCACACTGAGGTATGGGCCATGAGTTTAAGATATAGCTCCCTGAATAGCAAGAATGAGAGACCTGGGAACAACAAGGGCTATGAAGTTCCCAAAGGCCGTCACAGGCCGGTGATGGTCAGGCTTCTGGGAAAGACGGATGGACAGAAGTCCATAGCAAGATGTCAGCTGCAAAGCACAGTGGAGACGGAGCTATAACTATTCCCAGCTGAGGTGTTCTCTTCTCATGTGGTAAGAATAGCACCTGCAGTCTGAGTGCTAGCTCTGTGACAACTCTTTTCATGAATTAACCCTTTCAATTCTGACAACAAAACTATAAATCGAACTCCTTCAACCCCCCTGAATATGTATACAAGCGAGGAAATGAGACTCAGCGTTTAAGTGACTTCGGAAATCCCACAGCTAGTAAGGTGCAGCACAGATTTGCTTTAAAGACTCTCTGGAGTCTTTGCATTTACGGTTATCATGGAGACTGCCAAAGAGCCTTCAACTCCCAGGCATGCAACTGCTTGCCTCTGCGGCAAGGCAGCTGGGAGAGAAGGCGAGGGAGGCTGGACGGAGCAGCGCGAAAGCAAACGTGATCACTGTAAGGCTTTTGAGTTCATGCCCATTTTAAGGAGTGGATGTTCTGCTTTCCATCCAATTTGAACCACATAGTTTCGTAGTATTTCAAGTGAGGCAGTCCTTTATAGGTGCAACAGCAATCTTTGACTTTGCAATATATGTTCTAAACCACTGGATATGTAAGGTAAGACCCAGTCATCAGGGAGTCTGTATTACCAAGACATATTCTCAATTGACAAACTATTCTAAAGTAAAAACACGAGCAAATAAAAACCTTTCAATTATACTATTTTCTTAATTGATTTGTTACTATGAAATGGGTTGCACATGCAACTTATTTTAAATCATTTAGCATTATTAGGAGTGCCTTTTAGGTGGACGACACTGTATGACTTTCATGCTTAAAAACCATTTTTTATTCAAACGTCTTAGAGCCACCCAGGAAAGGACTTCTACTACTACCCCCATGTTATGATTTAAAAAGACAGAGAAATCATGCTAGTTAACCAATATCCCATAGAATAACCATCTTTAGAATAGCAAGATTATATAAATGTGGTGATAATGGACCAGCAACAACTCCAAATCAAACTCTAAAATTCTAAAAAATGTAGAATAAGACTCTAAAGAGACACACGTCTTTAAGTAAGACAAATACAATCTTACAAACTCCTATAAAACAAATGATTAACAAACACTGATTTTTTTTAAACTACTTGATTTATTTCATCATAAGTAGCAATATAGAAGAATTTTGTATTCATTTTTAAAAGCAGCTTTAAGAAATAGTATTTTTGACTGAGCAGTAATGAAACTATTGGATAGATTATTAAATGACTAGCCAGTGTCAATCCTTAAAAATAATTGTTTTAAACCAATCTTGTGAATCAAAGGTACACATATTAATAATCATAAATATTAGAAATATGTTTTAAACTGTCCATATGGTCAGCGTAACAGAGATCAGCCATGAAGCCTGGTCTGGAATTTGGTTGCTGTTAAGTTTAATGTTGCCTTATTGTTCCAAAATTTAAATAGTTTGGACCACTTCCATATTCATTGAAAACTGCAGTCTCAAAATACTAAAAAAATAACTTTATAAATACATAGATATGTTTAGCCATTTCACCTAAAAAGTTATACAATAGTTATTCCTACAGAGCTTTCAGAAAGTCTGTATTTCAAAGCTTATTTCAAAAACCACCACTATTTTGCATTTATCAACCATATATTTGCCTTAGAGATAAAACATATAAAAATGCTATTGCCTGAGAAATACCCACCTTCTTGTTTTAATTACACTATCATTTTTTTGTGACATAGAATGTTGTATCTTAGAAAAGTATGACATATTTCTACAGCTTCGATGATAAAATTATAGGTTCTTTCTTGAGGAGATAATGAAGCAACCAAGATATTTGCAACAATAACGTCAACAAAGAGAATATACACATACAACAGAGTAACTCACTTTGTAAGAGAAGGAAAGAGAGATTTTTTTTAAGTATTTTAAAATTCTCCAACCAAGTAGGAATTTTTAAAATAAAGTGGAGAGAGAGAGAGACCATAGACCAAACCCTGAAAGAGTAAAAAAATACATTATTAAAGCATTTTTTAAACTTAAACTTCACTGACAACATAGGTAACAGAGGAAATGTAGTATCAGCACAATATTTTATATAGAATAAAACCCGGCAACAAAACTCCAGAAAATGGAATTGTAGTTATAGTCAATGCCTGGTTTTGGGGGATTCTCCCTTGGCACTTGGAGGAAAGGCCATGCCATATGAACAAAACACTATCAAGAGTGAAATGTACACATTTTATAATGTTTAGCAGACAGCAGTTTTCTAGCACCACACAAATAATTAATTGTAACGGAAGATGATATTAAAGCAAGGTTTCTCCAGTTTTCCATTAGGTTATACTTCAAGGAGTCTTACCATGCAGGCTCGCATTAAAAACATTTTACTGCACTATAAAGTGGCTGTTGTCATTATACCCAAATGTAAACAATAATGCAGACTTTTCTAATTTTCCTATCTGTGGGTCTCCTTGGATGGAGGACAAGTAATTCAAAACTATGTGAAAACTGGAAAATTATATACTCATTTACAGCATTTCTCTGTAAATATGCATTTGGCTAAAGAGATCCCATCAAAATAAAGGCAGAAAAGCCCAAACATAGCATCTTCTATTTTAAAAAATCTTGGCATGTAATTTAAAACAAAAGGTGATAAAGCCAGTTGTGGACTTAGAACACATTTATCTCTTTAAGCATGCATCTGCAAGTGTACTAAATTTGGGTTCCAAATGATCCAAAAATTCCAGCCCATCTTCCTCCTGTCGTTCACTGCAACAGCCTACAGAACCAGCCGCTGATCCTCCTCCTTCATAGCTGTACGGAAGGACGTAGTCTCGTGCATGCTGATGGCTGTCATCCTGATTACACAGCTGAACCTTCTGCCGAGTAGAAGAAACACAACATACTTTATTATTACTATTTTTAAACACCAAAACTTAGTAACATAAAAATAATTGCTTTGATTTACCTTTCATTGTTTAATTTTTTATCAGAGTGTGTCCTCTAATGGATTCCTACATATAAAAAATGCACATGATTGGGCTGTATCATAAATCACACTATGAAGTCACTGTAGAGCATGTTTCTAAAAATCACACATTTGGCAGCAAATACTTAAGTGTTCATTTTGCATAACCAATTCCTTTCCTTTTCTGAAGAGTGGCTGCAGCAAACTGTACCCACGACCAGAACCCAAACTGGTGTGGGCTCAGATTCTTCCAGGCAGGCACAGTGGCTGTGCAGGCTACAACTGCCTGAGGCCACACTTGCGGTCTTAAAAATACAACGGTCAGATGGAAAATACAAACACAAAGTTATGAGAAAAGTAATTTAAATATTATCACACATTATTTCAGTAAGAATTAAAAACCAAACAAAATATTAGGAAAAGTAAATTTCCAACTCAGTATCTGAACAGAACTAAATCAAGGTTAAGGAGAAACAACTTTCCAATTAGTAGATTATAACTGAAAGCAAAGATCAGGTCACTAAACTGTGATCATTCAGAAAGTTGAAAAGACATCAAAATAGATTTGTGGGGCCCTGCAGGGAACTCACTTCGCCGAGTCGGGTCTGAGTGAAATTGTGCCACTCTGAGTACGAGTATTTGCAGCTGTCCACCTCCACGTGTGGGAGTTGCTGCCCGGCCCCCCGGCACAAGCCCAAGGTCTGGTGCCCTCCCTTCACTATCTCGATGGTCTCCTGCCCTCTGTTCTTCACTCCCGATCCCAGCGTGCCACAGATTCCCTGAGCTGAGCCGCCCACAGTGTGGCTCGTGAAGCCGTTCGTGGAATACTGAAATGAGAGGAAATGAACAAACTGTGCAGACAATGCCATGACTTTCTGGGCTAGAAGGTTAGTTCTCTGAGGCAGGCACCAAATCTGTTTGGCATTCCTAAGTAGTTAACCACTGTGACCCCAGCATGTCATGGAATGTCCAATCTAAGAAGTAAACAGCAGATATCAAGGGGTCTGTACTTTGAGATAAAATCAGAAAGCTTAATGTATATTCCTTCTTTAAAAACTTATTAAGATACTATGCAACTTCATTTGTTAAATCCTTCCAGCACTTCACACCACAAAATCAAGATTCCGTACTATTGTCTCACGTGTGTAATTCATTCCCTTCCCCTGACTAGAGCAGGAACAGAAATAATGATCAGTATTTTTTGTTCAGTGACTAATCTAGTTCCCCTTCAACTAAAACAAAAAGAATAGGAATAAAGTGGCCATAAGAATCCTGGCTGTAATAAGTCTCTGTGATGGACAGAAATAAAAACAAGTTGGGGAGCTAAGAACACCAAAGCTTTGGCTATGTTGTGTTTTTGTAGGCAACTCAAAGTTTGATTTTTTCGAATACCTTCCTAGATGCCAACATCTTATTGTTTCCTGAATCTTTACTACTCTAATAATCACTTATGCTTTTTGTAGGGAACTGACTTGTTCCTCAACCACATCCTAGGCTAGAAATCAAAGCTAGATCCCTATTGTCACTTGCTAGCATTCTTTCAACTTCAGACAATAGACCTCAAGCTTCTTTCTAACCCATATTAGAGTCAGAAAGATTCCATTAAAGTTCTTCCCACGTGGATCAAAGCTTGCAGTCATTTTACTGCTGTTACCAGAAAAAAAAATTAAGACAATTATGATGATCTGTGAATAATTAAACAAAATATTTTTATAGCACTAACAGCAGTTTCAATATACTTAAAAAGAATTGAAAATCATGAAATACTTGAAGTAGTAAGTAATAATGACATGTTGAAAGATCTTTACTATTAAGTAACACTGTATGGCCAAATTAAAATGCCATATATTAATTACCATGGGTGTCAGCATCATTTTATCTGTTCCATAGAACCAATGACCTTTTAAATATTAAACTTGGTTCCAAAAAAATAATTATAGGTGGTCAGGCCACTTTATCCTTTGTATTCATTTACAAAAAGACAAGCTGCTCACCACTTTGTCATCTCCCGGAGCTTCTGTGTTTGACACAATGAGATTCTGCTGGGCTAAGTCATCAGGAAATACTTTTGGCTGTTTAGCAGCTCCAGATACCCCACAGATTAAAGTAAACAGGATGCCTGGAGGATGAGAGAGACTACTTCAGCTTATCATAAATCAGTGTGAAGTGTGAATTAGGATGATAATGCAAAAGCAACTTTCCGGAAAAGGCACGTATGACGGCCTTGTCCAAACAGTGCACAACGGAAGTATGTTCTAACCACATCCCATCAGACACTCTAAATGCAGTACTAAAAATGTTAATTGACATTTATGTCTATGCTAATATAACACTAGAACTATATATGAATGCCCTTTCAAGATAGAAGTCAAATCTGTGTGTGTCAAATATAAATACGGCTTTATATACAAGTGAACAGCTACTGATAACAGGGTGGATTCTAAGAATAGGTCTTGAACATTATTGTAAAGGCTATTATTTCCGGTCACGAGGGGACTTACAAAATAGCAATGCTATGCCCAACAGTATTGCAAGGATGGCCCACTTCCCAAGCGCCACTCCTCCGCTGCCCATCCTTGGAGCGACGGGTTGCACACAGCCATTCTCAGTGACACAGTCACACAGCACAACGTTTAATGGCGTGACAAGTGACTCTCCCAGTCGGTCAGTGACCCTAACAGGCACCCTGTAGGACCCGAACGAAAGGTCATTCTCATAGAACAGACGTGCTGCTGTGTCTGAAAGAGAAAAAAAACTACGTTCAAGAATGCCACTGATTTCCCCCAGAGCATAAGTAACTCCAGAGGATATTCACGGGTTCCCCTGTGCAGGGGTGCTCCTGATGCGGCAGGGCCTGCGGCCAACTGCGTCATCCTGACCACTGCACCCTCGCACGCACTGCCTCGGGCAGTGGGTGTGCGGCCTCTTGCACAATCATCTCTCGGCTTTTTTAATAATATATTTTGTCTCTACATACACAAAGCCTTCCTGTCACAAGCAATAGACTTGTTAAACAACTGGTTTTATCACATCCTTAAAATTTTTAATCTAGCCATTCAGTGTAGATTTTCTTGTATCCATGATTCAACACAGAGTAATGATCTGAAATTCTGGGTGTTCTCCTTACTTTGTCTTCATATACTGTGCCACAAAGGCATAAACAACTGTGACTGGGTGTCAGAGACGGATTCTGACACCCTGGGACATCGCTGACCCCGGCCCGACCAGCAGGCCAGAGTCCAGCTGAGGCAGCCTTGTCGCCGGGTCCTCTGGGACACTGGCGCCAATGGTGCATTTGGGGTTTTGATGCATTTTTTTAAGTCCAGGGTAGAATACATCTAGGCCAAAACCCAATCCAGTCTTTGGTACAGAGCCAAAGATATAACACTGCTCTGAATGTAGATGCCACATGCTCATGCCAGAAATATCCCTCCCACTTACCTGGCCCTGGGTGATGTGCTCACTTATTTTTATGATGTTTGAAGCTCTAAACACAAATTTGTATGTCTAAGTAAAGAAGTTGTTGGATTAAGTGAATTGTAAATGAAAGCATGATCAACCTGGTTAAGTCTGTGGGTTAGAAATAAAAAGACTAACAAAACTAAAATTTGTGATTCATAATACGACACCATCTGTTGCATTCACTGTCTGTTTACTCCCCCAACTAATCCCATTTTACATGAGTACACTGATACTCAGAGGAACAAACCGCATGGCCAGGTTTACAGAACCAGTGAGCGGTGGAGCCGGCATCCGACACTGAGCCTATCTGATTTCAGAGCCTCTTCAGCGCACACTCTTCACTTGGTGTTTCTCAGGCCTTTGGATTATTCAGCAGAGTGGTAAAACTTTAAAATGACAATGTTTTGACCAACATAATGCTGCAAATGTTTTATTGTACTAAATAGGAATATTTTTAAAAATTTCCACCTCCTTCAACACTGTATTAAAAGACATGATACTATGACACTAAATAAGAAGGAAGGATAAAATCTAAAGTTTTAGTTCTTCCCAGGAAAGAACAGAAGATAACTTACACGCAGACACCCCCGCTGTCTCCCCTCCCCCAGATATTGCTGCTAAAAGATCTGAAAGCGCTGTCGGTTTCCGGCAGGCTTCGGGGCTCAGAGCCTTAACTTGCCACTAAAACTTCCCTGTGCCCTGTTTTCCTCGCCCGCCCTGTTCCCTTTCCTTCTTCCACGACCTTTCCTTTCCAATTTGTCGTTGGGAAATCGTGGAATGTTCATTGGAAGCATGGGGTTGAAAACCGTCCAAGGGCATTTGAAGGCAAACCCCGTTCTGTTCACACGGGGTCCTGAGTCCTGGAAGTGAGGTGGTGAGTGAGACCAGGGCATCGGGACCCACAGGTGGGACCCTAAGGAGATGGGGAAAGGGCTGGTGGGTGAAGGGCTGATGGGGGAAGTGAGCAGTGGTAGTATGGAGCAAGGTCCCCATCATCTTTGCCATTCTGCCACCCCAGAGTCTGCCATGGGAAAGTCAGGGGTGCTGACCAGGAGCCAGGCAGGAGAGCCCCAAGAGGAAGACACGCACATCAAGTGGCCAGATGCCAGGGCAGTCCGGAGAGAAGCAGCAGGAGGCTGATGCTGTGGGGCACACCCTGGTGCTCTACGACCAGGGGTGTGCCATCCCACCTTGGGGGGCTGTCCACCCCTCCCAAGATGGGGCCTTCCTGCCGAAGGGTCACCCCCAGGGCAGCCAAGCCCACTGACTGAGCAACGACAGAGTGCAAGGCTCCACGTGGGGCCATGCCAAAGGACCACTGAGCTCAGACCCCCACTGGGTTAGCTGTGGCTGACCTTGGCCTCTGCAAGTTGACTGCAGAGTTGACTTCTTTTTGCCCAATTCTGATCTTCCTTTCCTATGTACTGATGCCAAGCAAACTCCTTAATAAACATTCTGCCCACGAAACTGCCTTAGAGTCTCCTTCCCAGGGAACAGACCCGCAATGCATGGGGCTTCCCTCATGACCTAGGAACCGTTCACGTGCAAAGAAGCCATGTAGGTGGGAGGTGCACAAGTCAGGAAGAGCTTCTAGTAGACCCAGCCTCAGCGGGTGTGTGTGCTGTGGGAATGAGCATTCACACAAAACCTGGGGAATCCCGGCACAGGACTGATTGAAGGCAGGTGCGAGGGAGGCCCACTTCCCACTTCACCAAAACTGAGAAGCTAACCTCTTACTGGTGGTTCAAACACAGTGAATTATTCTTCTATTTCACCAAGGAAAACAAATATTTTAGACATCCTGATGTTGAAGAGGAAAAAATAATGTTTAGAAATAAATACCATTAAGTGTTGTCAATCTCCACATTCTCTGCATGTCTGAATCAGAGACAGTCTCCAAACTGAAGTCAAAGGGTGGCCCGTGTGTGGGTTCATCGGGATCGACCGCAACTATCTCGGCAGATGACCTGACGGCTTTGCAGATTATCACTGTCGTTGTAGGTATGAATGGGCCGTTATCGTTGACATCTTCCAGTATAATTCCCAGTGTCCCAGTACATGATCTTCCATCTAAGAAGTTGGATATCAGTACAGTTTTTTAATGTTTTGAGTTTTTGCTGGGAAATTATACATTGAAAAAAAGGCCCTTGTAACATATAAATGACAGTGATAAGCATAGTCATAGGCTATGTTCTAAGGGAATGTTAAAAGAAAACCATCACTTTCAAACAGGTCGTACAACTGTTGGTGGGAATGTCAAGTGGTGCAGCCACTGTGGAAAGGCAGTATGGAGGTTCCTCAAAAGCTAAAACTAGAAATACCATATGACCCAGTAATTCCACTTCTCGGAATTTACCCTAAGAAAACAAAATCTCTGCTCGAAATGATTTATGCACCCCTATGTTTATTGTCACATTATATACAATAGCCAAGATTTGGAGGCAACCCAAGTGTCCATCAATAGATGCATAGATAAAGAAGATGTGGTACATATATGCAATGGGATATTATTCAGCCATAAAAAAGAAAGAAATCCTGCCATTTGTGAAATCATGGGTGGACATAGAGGGTATTCTCCTAAATGAAATAAGCCAGGCAGAGAAAGACAAATACCATATGATTTCACTTACATATGTAATCTAAAAGCAAAGCAAAACTAAACAAAATGAACAAAACATCATTAGACTCATAGACAGTGAGAAGGCACTGATGGTTACCATGGAGGAGGGGCTGAGATGGGTGGGGAGAGTGAGGGGGATAAAGAGTCCCCAAATCTGTCATGATATAAATTAGTCATGGGGATGAAAGTACAGCATGGAGAATATAGTCAATGATTCTGTAGTTATCTATGTTGACAGATAGTAACCATACTAGTTGTGGTGAGGATTTAATAGTATAGATAACTGTTGAATCACTATATTGTATACTTGAAACCAATATAATATTATATATCAACTATACTTCAATAAAACAATTTTAAATGGGTTATACAGACAACAATTGCTATTTAATGTGTCATTCATTTATTACATAGTTGCAATAGACATGGAAACTTTTCTGGGGTGAGTTTCAACTAATTTTTGAAAGAAGAAAGGAAGAGAGCATGAACAAGGGCACTTTTGGCATATTTAAAACTATAGGAAGATTCAGGAGGGTGGGCAGCCCCGTGTGCACTCCTGTGGGCCGACACAGTGCGGGGAAGGCAGCCTGGTGGGACCTGACCCTGGGAGGAGAGCCAAGAGCCCTTAGAAGTGGACCTGCGGAGCCTGGAACCTACTACATGGACAGAGAGCACCTGTGGCGACTGAGATGTGGGTGACACAGATTTGGGAGATCAGAACAGAAACAGCACACTAAAATGTTCAAAATATGAAAGACGCCAGAAGGGTCAAATCAGTTGCAAGCCAATATAATCACTCTGGGTGGAACCTAAGGAATATACCAATCTTACTAGAGTCAATAAAAACTTACTACTTTGTATAGGGTACTGTCCTGGGAAATCTGAGATCCAAGGTGAAGCGGTCATGGGTCCAGATGACAAATCAGTCATACAGTTGTGAAGTCTGAACATAAACCCAGGACTTCTGTCCCTAAATCATTTTATTCTTTCTCCTTAATAAGAAGGTCTTGGACATCAGGGGTGAGGAAGAGGATGAAAACCCCAAGCCACCCTCTGTCCACACATGAAGCTGCCAACTAAGGAGGCTGGGAGACCTGGCACAGCCCTGCAGGACCTCAACCCAGGCAACAGGACCCATAGTGCTTCCTGGGTCGTTATGGGTCATGAGCTACTGCCCACCCAGGTGAGAACTGGTTTTGAAAGGTGGGCCTCAGGAAAGGACAAGGGGAAAGCGGCTACAGGATTGCTATCAGGTGAAGTGTCAGCCAGAGAAAACCACCCAGAACACGGGACACAAAACACCTCCCACTTAACATGAGCTTGCAAATGAAAATCCCCGAGTGAGCAAGATTCATGTTAAAAGGAAAACCAACAAAATCACCAATCAGAAAATTAATTCACTCTATGCAAGTCATCTCTGAAACATGCGTATTTAGTATCCTCAAAGGCAGAAGAGCAGCTGTTTAAACAAGAATGAAATTATAGCTCAAATTGCAACAGAAATAAAACAGCAACATTTATCTAATTAAGGACTCTGGAAGAAGAGACTGAACGGAATGGCCCAGAAGCAGCATTCCAGAGATCATTGCTGACAGCACTGAAATAAAGAAAAACAGGGATCTTCTATTTTAAAATATATTCTGACCACAGTGTTAGGTTAAGTAAAAATAAATGCACAGCATAAACATCATACTGAAACTACAGACTGCACCCTAGGGAACTATAAAAGTCACTTGGATGTATTACCTACAAAGGGACATTAGCTAGATTGACAGGAGAATAAAGCAGCAGGAAGAGACGCCAGAAGATAATGGATTACACCCTCAGCGCAGTGCTGAGGGAAGGGAGGGGTTAATGCAAAGGTTTAGACCAAGTCGGATTATCATATCAAGCATGGAAAGACTATTAAAATATTTCTCAGAACAATAAATTGACTGGGTTTATCACCCACACAACCCCATTGGAAGAACTAGTAAAGGATGTACTTCAACAGGAAGAAAATGAAAACAGGAGAGAAGAAATGAAATGCAAGAAACAATGGAACTATATCTCATTTTGGACAACTTTAAAAAAAGAGAGAGACAAAGGAAGCAAGGAGATTTGTATTTTCTCTACCTGCCATGCTTTTCTATGAGGGCAGAATTATCTCACCTCTCAAACTCTTATTCTCATACTATGTGGTGTTTTCTCGCTGGCTCTGAAAAACTGGGGCTGCTGATGTCTTGGGCATTTCTTTCCATTTGGGTCCACACTCAGGGTTGAAAGCGCATGTCTCACCAACTGAATCTGGCTAGTAATATTAACTTGAAAAACCGACCTCTACAGTGTGTCTGCTACGACTATGCTAAATACTTGGATTCCCCTTCCACCCAACATTTAGAGTTGCTTAGCAAACTCCACTATTATGCATATTGTGATCAGTGTTGGTATAGAATAATTAAAACAAAGATTTTAGGCATCTAATTCACAGTGTTTCACAGCTCTGTTTTTCATCTGTTGACTAAATAAATAGTAGTACCCTTGTATGCAGTGGGTGTACGCATGCAATGTGCAGCTTCTAACATTAATATAATTCTGTGTGAGGGAGTGGCAATCCAAATACAACGTTGTGGCAGGCAGACTCCCCGTGGTCCCAGGATTTATGGACACGTCACCCTCCTCTTAAACATTTTAAAATTTTGAAAGCATATTCCACCCCAGAAGCTGGAATAATATAATAAAAATAGAAACCCAAAACTCAGCTGTGTAAGTGCCAACAGAGTTTCAATTGAGAAGAGCTGAGAAGAAAAGAGAATTGAACCCAAAGCTTAAGAAATGGCCATTTAGGAGGGGGAAAGGGGTAAAACCAGAAAGCATACAGATTAGAGGGGAATGTATACAAAAACTTAGACACAGCAGTCTTGGAGGGAATTTTAACAAGAGGAAACTAAGTGCTATAAAGATGTAGGAAGGACAGGAAGTGAGAGGCAGGTGATGGTTGGGTCAGAGGTCAGTGCTCCTGAGGTGAGGAGCATTTTGCATTAGGAAGCAGCAGGCAGGGCCCAAACCAAATGAGCCAGCATAGCTTTTAGAAAAAGATAAACAAAAAAACACATCCTTTTGTATGACCACATAGAATTTTACAGTGTGGTAGTATTTATCCCCTACCCTTTTCAAAAGATATGAATGAGAAAGACCCCATTACACATTTATTCTATACCTCAAACATGATTAACAGAGCCCCTCATCTGGAATCCATAAAAATATTTAACCTAGCAATGATTTTATCTCCTCTGCAACAGATAATATAGAATAAAGGTATGACCAAAATCACAAATTTCAGTAATTTTTCTCTCATCGACCAATAAGCCATTTGCCAAGTGCTATTAAAAATGTAAAATAAGGATTTGATTTTCATATTATTTTTCTTTCTTTCACTTGCCTTTGACAAAACAATCACAACTTTACCAGTTCAATCTATAGATATGAATCAATAGATATGAATTAATTCTCACTAATTAAGAGAGAATTGGAATGCTTAAAACATCTTCCAAACCACTTCTAAATTCTAATTGTACAAGCTGTAGTATAATAATTTATGTTGGTTACATTGAATATTTATTTTATGAAGATACAACGTTCAAATGCATATTATGGTCAAATTATTTTTCATGCACTACTTGGGTCTCAGACAGAATCAGTGCACTCATATTTCACTCAGTTTTGTAGGACTCACAGAACATGATTTTACATTTTAGTGATTATATGACTGCTAGTGTTTGCCTTCTAATTTTACAATATATTATTAATCATGGCAATGATTTATTTTCAGATAATGTCCTTAAATCAGAATTCTAACCCCCAAGTCTATTAGTTTCCTGTATGGAGCTAGAACTGTTTTCTAGGAGTTCACTATGGAGCAGTAAGAACATTCTCTGTAACGAATTGTCTGCCAACATGAATATTTTAAGAGATATGACTGGAGAAATTGAAGCTAATTTTACAAAAGCAATTTTCTCAATTTTTAATGATCATTGACCTTTAATAAATTATGGGCTCAAGTATTTCTAAGACTAAATTATTTTACAATACATCTAAAATGAAGGGTTCTATTAGAAAGCAGACATGAGTTACTATTATAGCAAACCTCTCAATTACTCTGTATGTCATCTGGGGGGAAATAAATTTTAAGAATATATGCAGCTGACTTAAAAATGTATGTTGTTGGCTTAAAAACTGAGGATATATGTAGTTGAGGATGTATGCAGCTAGCCTGAAAATAAAGTTCTTACCTTTGTCTGATGCAAGGATTGTAACATTATATAAACCATTGCTGACGACCTCTGCCTCTCTGTCTAGGCTTCTCAAAATCGTGATGGATCCTGAGTTTTCATCAACACTCACCCACCCTTTTGGATCACTTAATTTCTTATACCTGTTAATGATTAATTAAAATAACAAAACGTATTATTAGGCAAATTACAATACTGGTATCAAAACAAGCTATGAATTTTTTTAATGTGGTACATTTTGAGCTAACTAAAATAGAATTATAAATACCTTATGCCACTGCTACTCCGTGTTTCTGGGTCAAAGGCTTTATAGCCACTGCTCCTTGTCTTCACTGGTGCGTTTTCCTTAATTCGAACAGTTTGCGCTGCAGGGCTACACTCAGGACCCTCATCCTGATTTTCTACATTCACAGTAACTGTCACTGTGCTCATGGCTGACCTTGAGGTCACCTCTTTAGAATATGGAGCTTCATTGACGACACCAATTTGCAGGTCCACCTGTTGTTTTTCTTCGTAATTCAGTGGCTACAGAAGCAATCATGTTGCAAATCAGAACAAGGCATGTAATGTTTTTTGCAAAGCTAACTAGTGTATGTAACTTAGGTGGGTTTGATAAGATGTAAGCGCTGTGTTGGGAACAGGAGTGAGAATGTTAAACATATACCCAGAAACGTAGTGGTGGTGGGAGGAGAGGAATCCTTCAGCTATTCAGTATTTTGGTGGGGACAGCAAAAAACAGGAAAACAACATTGTTCCTCAACTGCAAATTTAACCCAAGGACTCCAGCCCCAGATGATGATGTCAGAAAGGATTCAGCGTAGGTACTTTAAGGCCAGTACTTGAGATACTACTGAGGAACTCCGTACCTTAACCAACAGTTTTTATATTCCATTAACTCTGAGACAGCTTGTCCTACTCTCCTGAAGTGAATAAAATTTTTAGCACCTAGTTTGGGGCAGAAAATGTGGGTTAAATTTTTTTAAATGTTTTTAAGAAAGGAGAGACAAGAAAATAGAAAGCTCATGGACATTACACTTTCCTTTTTTATCTCTTCCACCCCAATTACTTTCTAAGAAGCAGTACCAAGTTTAATGGAAGATTTTTATTTTGCTTGATATGCAGTTATAATGAGAATGGATGAAGCTGTTTCCTAGAAGACAGGAATTCTGTCAGGTCTTGCACTGCATGGAGATAAACTTCCATCTTAGAGTACCAAGGATTAGGGCAAGGGTTGGGTGGAAAAAGAAACAAGATTAAAGGACATTTCTTTGCTGTTTTGAAACAGAGAAATTCTGCCACAGGCTGCAGCTAAATTTCATTATAAGAAAAAAAGATTTATCATTTTTGATCCACACTCCCTGTGAATATGTACAAAAAATGGAAACTACTTAGTCCCAAGATGGAATCACGTTCTAGTTAAAGATGGATCAGAAACAAGCCTGTGCCTTCATCCAAAGCCAAAAGGGCTCAGCTCACGTTACAGGCTAACGGGTTCCTGAAGCAGCAGGGAGGTCTTCTCAAATGTGGTAGAAGTATTTAGATCTCTGAAGGTTTGAGGATTCCCTTCTGAACCAGGTAGCTAAGGATGTTATATGCACTGGATATAAACAGATGTGTTTATATACACACATACACATACAAACATTTTTTAAATCATGCTTTTATAGAAGATTCCAGGAAATTGATATATTCATCGTAGATGAAGAAACACAACATTTACCTAATTTTATCCCTACATTTACCAGAATTCCTTTTCCTATCTTTAAACTATAGTATGCTAATCTATGATATCGTAAGATACAAATAGCCATTTACTAACTTATTCTTACCTTAACCACACACAGAATTCCTTCATTGGTTTTGGGATCTGTAACAATTTTAAAATTTCCATTTTCATTGCCCTTTAAAATGGTATAATTAGCTCTCCAATTAGCAGTATTAACTAAATCTTTATCCTCAACAGTAACACGCAAGACATCCACATCAATTGTATTTTCTTCCACTGATGTCACATACTAAAATAATAGGAACATAAAAAACTTAATTAGTAACTCTTCCAAAGATAAAAAAAGATGTGAAGAAAGTCTGATTCTTGTAATTTCCAGTTACCACATTTACGTGATTTGATGCTCTAAATCCAAACCACTGTCATATTGATGGGGGGGGGGCACTTCATTTGAAATCATGGGGCACTGATGGAGATGTGCATATTTAACGATTAACACTGAGTTATACATTTTTCTCTTATGAGTATCATGTGCTTACAGAAGTTCGGGTGAATGTTGGCAAGTTGTCATTCACATCTTCAACATGAATAACGCAAATTGAGGTCGTTTGCAAACCAAAATATTGACCATCCATGTCTTGTACTTTTATTTTCAACTGGTATTTATCAACTAGCTAAAAAGAAAGTAAGAAATAATTAATTATTGAGTAAAAGAAGCATTATAAGTAAAATCTTAGTTTATACTCTAATTCCCTTGCATTAAAAATTCAAGAGGCACACTATAAAATTTCATAATTTTTATATACCAGCAAAAGAATAATTTCCTCACACTAGTAATTTTCAATCAATTTAGGAAAACAAAATAGTTTCTCAAATTTAAAGTGCTACTCATAGAATACAGAATCATTTGGTTTTAGCTTTACTAAACAGACAGAGAGGATATAGCCTGAGAACATTTTTAATTGCCCAGTAATTAATCAAAATCATCATCTCCTATCCAAAGTGCATTCTATGTTCAAAAATACATAGCAATGACTCTTATTGCAGCCTCCTAAAATAATGATGAAGTGAAATATCCTCCTGTGAAAATGGTAGATTCCAAATATTTACATTTATAAAAAGATCCTCAATTTAGCATGGAAACAAAGATCAGGAACAATGTAGTATTTTTCTCTCCGTGGAAATGCAATCCAGCTCCTGGGTTCTCCATTCATCAGAGCATGCGGAAGACTCCTCGCCAGTCTAACAGGTGTGTCTCTCCTCCTAATAGTTTCAACTTGTCATTAAGAATTGGGATATGGAAGGATTTAATACAACACTAATAATAATGGCTTCTGGACTGAACATTACGAAACCTGGATTCTATTCCCAACTCTAAAAATAACAAAATATAACCTCGGGTAACTGGAAAGAGTTTCTTCCGTGGTTTCCTGTTACAGCTTCCCTATACAATTCACCTCTTTTATGAAACAAAACAATGTGTAAAAAATGATCTTAACCTTCTCCCTAGAATGCTCACTCCTCTCTTACCATGCCACCTTCTTTTAATTTCATCACCTCTTATGCTTTCTTGTCCTAAATATATTACCTAGAATAAAATTAAAATTTCTCTTGATCTCTGTGCTTTTTATACACATAGGTTTCCTGATGTACTCTTCTCTCACAATCAATCACAAATGAAGAGATGAAAAATAATGAACTTTTTTCATTAAACATGTATAATCCTCATGCTAGTATACTTTTTGGAGGGAATACATGGGTTTTTTTTAGTGAACTAAGATTTACTGGGAATAATCAACTGATAAAACAAACAAAAAAAGAAATGAGGTTTTAGACCTAAATAGTAACTTGTGATATCTTTAGATGGAAGACAAACTCTGATGTTTATAGGGTTTAAAGAGTCCAAGGCAGCAGATGAACACTGGCGTCCTGGGGTACTCAGGCAGCTCCCGGGTCCTCAGGAGAAAGCAGCCCGAGCCACTGCCTTTAGTCAAGGGCTTCCAGCTGATTTATCAGAAAGGCTTATTCAAGACTTGATGCTAAAAGAGGATTTGGTTTATAATCTGTTTTCCTGAGCACATAAAACTCCATGAAGAACCTGTGTGATTAGTAGGGCTGTGACTCACTCATTCACTTAATCAGCAAATGGTATTATATTCTTCATTGGCACATACTCGCAGTAAAAAGTAAATGAATTTATGTGTAATAAAATAAAATTCTACTTAACAGTGTCCTTGCAGATGCAGAAAAACGCTTAGTTTCACTGAATTTTATTAAATTTCAGCCCTATATGAAGAACTGAGAGCTGTATGCTGAAGCACGATTGCTGCATCGCATGGTATGATGCTCTTCAGGAAACACACTTGTGTGATAGCTTGACTTTAGAGCAGAACTAGCTGGGTGTTTTTCATAGAGTATCATTTTTATATGAATGATATCTGTAGTTATTCAAGCTACTATATTTGGAAGATATTTTGTCATACATGAAGTAAATCTGTCACTTCAAGGAAAACAATTATTTGTTGCCAATGATCACTGAGTTTCAAGCAAAAATAAAAATTCCAGAAAACTCTTATCAACCATTGTGCTATTAATGGAAGTGAGGAAGACTTTTCCAATAATGTTCAATGAAATGTGTCAGTATTTGGAAGGTCTTCATAACTCAAGTGAACCGGTATCTTCCAAATGACCAGAGCATGATGTTAGGAAATCATACACAGGCAAAACTATCCATTCACAGTAAAAAATAAACCAATAGATATTAATGTAACAAAGTACACAAGATCACTGATAAGGTTTCCTAGTGCATATTGCAAAGCATTTACTAAAATATCTCTTGTCAAGTTTGGTGTAGTATCAAAAAAGAATATCCATAAATGATCTGAAATTACTATTAAAATACTCTTTTCTCGCACTTCAAGTTGGATTGATTGTCTTTTTATATTTCAGCAAAAACTACATATTTTAACAGACTACAAGCAAAAGATACGAGCATCCACCAGTCTCAAATCAAGCCAGGGAGTAAAAAGACTTGGAAAAAGTGATAAAATGTCACTCTTCTAATTAAATTATTTATTGTTGGGAAACAGTAATTGTTTTTATTAAAATGTCATTTATGTTAACATGTAATACATTTATCATTATTTTAAATGGGCAAGTAAATGAATATCTTAAACTTTTATCAGTTTTAAAAATGAATGGAGTAAATGTTGATAAATATAACCCACATAGGCAAAAGGTCTTTGGAATTCTCAGCAATATTTAAGAGTGTAAAGGGGTCCCGAGCCCAGAAAAATTTGAGGGCCACTGCTCTAGTCCACAAGGACTAGGGAAAGGGAGAGAATATGAACTTCTGCTAGGACGTTTCAGGAATAGATGCAAACCTGCCCAATATGTTTTACCATATTTTAGGATTAAGGATTATAAACATAGTAACTAGGCCAGATAAACTGTTATCAGAATTCAGATGAACAAATCTTTGGTGAAGGATCTAATAGCTGACTAACCAAGTGAATGAATTACTAAATTAGGATGGTTGTGGTAGAAACGGGCAGAATGTAAACATAAGATGACTAGAGGTAATAACAGCATGCTTGAAAAGATTTGATCTAAGGGGCCAGAAGAGGCATCAAAAACAATTCTGAGAACATAAACCCAAGATATCAACAGAAAATTATAACTAGAGAAAGAATGTATCAATGCCATTTCAACTAGCAATCATGGCCAGGAGAGCATGTATCCAAGGAATTTTAGATGTTCCGCATCTCAGGCACCTGTGAGACATCTGAAAACGGATTTCCAGCAGTCAACTGAGAATGCTACACATGCCTCAGAGAGATATGAACTTTCTTTTAACCTAACGAATGTAGAGAATGCAGGTGAGATGGCGTAGGAAGACACCCCAGGGCAGTGTGCATACCTGCTGGTGACAAAGTTGTGTACAGTTTCACTTCCATATTTGACATTGCTTGTTTTTATTACTGTAAAGATGTTTATATTAGGAAATGCCATTTTATAAAACATACCAGTCAGAAGCAAACAAATTAACAGCTCCAAATTAGTGCACTGCAAGGCATATGACCTTCACCAACAAACTTAAAATAATTTTCTAAAATTAGATTCACAACATGCTTTGCAAAAACACAACCCAGGTGACACAGAGAGAGACAGAAGTATGTGGTAACCAGGCTTTGTTAGCATTTGTGTTACCTCTCTGTCGAGCTGAGATGAGGAGGTGGTGATCACGCCTGTCGCTGGGTGCATGGAGAACAGCGTGGGGGATGCTGGGAGCTGCTCCATGATGGAGTACCTCAGGCGCGTGTGCATTGTGTCGGGCTCATCTCTGTCGGTTGCACATACCTGTCCCACAGTAGAACCTACATATTGAAGCATCCTCGTCAGTTTAGAAAACTTGCACACTTTCAACCTCCCTTTCATTTCACTCCTCTCCATCTACTTCAAAAAAGTTTTTGAACATTTAATTATATATCAGATTGAGAGCTTTTATAAATTTGAAGATTTCCATATTAAGTATCACTTCCTTTTAAATATCCTATGTTCTAACATTTTGGAATTTGGTGACCACATCTGTATTTAATGTATAATTTTATAAATGTTGATAATATCCCTCCATGCCCTTTGTATTTGTGGACTAAAGAATTCTAATTATTCTTTAACCTTCTTCTATTTGTAAACCTGCATTAAATTGATCACACAGGTCAGTTTTCTCTGAAAATTCTTGGCTTAGTTAGAACTTTCTAGAGGAAGTTCAAGAATTTGCCTTCTGACTTCCAGGTGAAATGGCCGATTTTCACAGGATTGAGAAAAATGTTTATATTATTCTCAATAACCTTTATGATGATGCCAGAACATTGTCCATCATTAATTCACTACAGAACACAAACAGATCACTTCAAGGTTAAGACTTTGGTGGCTCAAAGACTTATTCTTTTTTAGAGTATGTTCTCTTAAGAGTATGTATTTTATCTCACACAGGAAAGCAAAGTAACATATATTAAGTAGCTCTGGGTTCTCAGGCACTGGGTTCTACATTCCAGGTGGATCATGGAATATTGATTTCCTGTTTTATAGATGAGAAAACTAAAGCCTCTCAAGATGAGGAAACATGCCCAAGGTCAGAGTGCAGAGCTAGTGGGAGGCAGAGGAAAATGCCACCCACAGCTGCCTCCCCTGTTCTGGACCCTCAGCTGCTCTTAAACCTAAGTCACCATGATTGTGGAGGTAGGTACTCACCAATTCTGCGATTTTCAAGAACGGTGAAAGTATAAATTTTTTCTGTAAAAATTGGGTAGTTATCATTTTCATCCTCAATTCTGATCACTAGGGGCAATGGGAGTTCTGGAGTATACCCATCCGGAGTCACAGCAAAGGCAATTAGCTGTGAAGAGAGTAAAATCGGGAAAAAAGCAAAACCACAATGCGGTTTCAACTTCCTAGACTTCAATTCGGAGACTGTTCAGCATGCGGTGAGTTAGGGTTGAGGTGCCCACATGTGGACATACCCTTAACACCATGAGAAGTGGGTAATTTCCTGATGTAGTATAGCACCGTATGTTACGTTTATCTGATAACATAGGTAAGTCTCTGGTCCCCTAACTGCTGTGCTGTTGTTCTTGAGCCTAACAGCCTTTATTATTATTTTCCCAAAACATTCTTGAAGATTATTGTGTTTCTTTTGTTTGACAGTTTCAGGTACATGGATTTTAAATACAACTTTCTGGATCTTTTTAAACTTAGGGTTCTCAGGATTCCCAATTCCCCAGACACGTTAGCTGGGGTATCATCTTACTTCATACTAAGTAGGATGTTAGGCATATTTATGTTTCTATTTAGATAATTCTCTTACTAAGAAATTTAATTTAAAAAGGGGGAGTAAGAAACAGAACAAATGAATGGCTGTAAATTGTGTGTGAATGCAATTAATTTCTTTTGATTTTATAATATGAATTTCAATTTCAATTTTTCTCATAACAGCTACCATAGAGAACAGCACAGACCATGGTAGCAATTCCCAATTTAAATATTTAATTCAAAGTTTGCATGTCTCTTCAGTTCATTTAGTCTACTGATGAATAATTAATTCATCCAAAATAGATATAAAGTAATTATAATTGAGTTAATGAAAATGACAGTGTCCTCTTGGGAAACTGATATGACATTAGGCTAAATTCTTACATATTAACTCTCATGTTACCATGAGAAGTTAACGAAATAATGAAAATATCGAATAACCTTAGCTAAGCACCGCCTACACTCCTCACTTGTTTACCGCAAGTTAACTTTCTCCCACTGCAGACATACTGAGGTTCGAGACTTCTGCACTTCACTTACCTCCCATGGTATCTCTCTCTGGAGCATGAAGAGATTCACAGACCGTTTCTGCCAACTAAATTAACTGTTCCTCAAAGGGCTACTCTCTTTTTCTTTTGGAAAAAAAAAATAGTAAAACTATAACACCACGGACAGTCTCATAGACTCTAAAGCTATTTATTCTGTAAAGTTACTTTTGCTTCAAGTCAAATCTGTATTATCAGATTCAGCTAAAGCATAGATGACAAACTCCAAAAGCAGAAAAGCATAAATGACTTGAGAACAAGATAAAAGCCTAACAATTATTAACATGATGTGTAAACTTTAAACTTTACCTCAAAAGATTCATACTCCTCACGATCCACAGGACGCGTACAGTACAAGTTTCCAGTATCTCTCTCTACATAAAATAAATTCTTAGGGTCTCGATCAACTCCAGGCCCTCTTATAGAATAATATATAGTGTAGTTCTGCGCAGTGTCAGACTGAATCTAGAAAGTGGATATTATATACATGAGACAAGTTTTTCTTTCAGCAAAACTTTCACCTATGTACTTATGCAATCACATTGCCATTTTTATTGCAGTAAGTCATCACTCCCTCTTATTTATTATTATGTATGAATAAAAAGCAGCGATAGAATAAGAAAGTCTAAGAATCGAGAAATTTCATGAGCAAAGGCATGAGGAAAATAGTGTGGTAGCATCTAACTTTACCAGAATAACTAAGGAATACTTTAAAGGTGGCATGGAACCTACAGGGACCAAACATTTAAGACTTTTCCTGTCTTAGAAAACAAAGTATTTTGAGCATGACCAATTATTCTTTTCTCAAGTTTTATATATTCATACCCCTACACTGAAACATGACACACATACTCATTCATTCATATATTCATGAACCACTACTTTTTAAATAACTCCATATATATTGTCCAAAATAAAAATGGAAACCATGGGCTTTCACAGTGGAAGGAAAGTGAATCCTACCTGTTGGAGAAAAAGTGGGAAGGGGCCCAAGGAATTCTCTTGCATTGAACAAGGAATCGGCGCCCATCTCCTCTTGGCACGTCTTAGAATTTTTTCTTTAGAATGTCTTTTTTTCGGTATCTCAATTTAGAATACAGGGAAAAAATATTAAAGTCAATGACTACTTTATTCTCAAAACTAGAACGTGCATACATTTCCTGTCATGAGGATGAGCTGGTAATGGTAGTGCTTGAAAACCAAATGAAATGTCAACACTACGGAAAGATAATGAAGAGGTGACTGCCCTGTCACCACAGCGTTCCTCTGGAGAAAATAACTTGGTGGAAGTATGGAAGAAAGAGGAATGAATCAGAAGCCTACAAGCAAAACTGAAAAAAAAAATTTACTGTTGTCATAGATATGCTGAGAAAATAAAGAGAGTGTGCCTTTCTACATTGAACATAAGCGTCTTCCACTCACCAGCAGCTAGGTAGAGCCAGGGGACCTACCAACAGAGAGATCTGTGTCAGAATGAGGAGGGAAACATGGTGGCAGCTCTTGGACTGAGGCAGTGAGTCACAGCCAGGGTCAGTGTGATCTTGGGTGGCACAAAATAATAAGCATGCTTGAGGTCCAAAGCTCAGGCTGAAACAGTCATCTACTCTCTAAGACTATCAGTTAAGCTAAGATACATGAGACCTGCTGGGACAGAGTTTCAAATTTGTTTTGGGAAATCTGTTCTACAATAAAGAACAAGAAATGCTTATTTGTACCTGATTGCAGATTCTTACACTGTAGCATATCCCAATTTCTCCTTTTACATCCCAAATGCAAAGGACTTACAACCTGTAGCTCCTGCCTGGCACAGCCCTTTCCTGTTTAAACACTAAGTTGCATCACAGTGGCGGTTCTTTCCCAAGCTGAACTCTCCCATTTCCTCTCTGATTCCGCATCTTCCCTGGTAATCTCAGTCACACCATTTTTACAGTTTGGTATATACCTCTGTTTGCTGCTCTAAAAGGACAAGCATTTTCTTCTCTTCTTGGTTCTCAGTGTTGGAAAGTAATATGGTAAAATTTCTCTTCTCTGAAGACAAAAGAATTGCATTTGTTGTATAGATGGAACCATCTTCTAAAATTTGGAAATCAGGATCACTTGAATGAATTAGATTTGCAGATGTAAAACACTGCTTCAGGTTAACTGTAGAAAATATACATAGTGATCATTCGTAAAGTAAAACAAAATAATATATCATTTTGACAGTAATCTATGCATTTTGGGAGGAGACAAAACCTTAAAATAAATTATACTGCCATTTGCAAATTTTGCATTTTTTAGAAGGCCATACAATATTATACGGTCTTCATTTTGTTTAAATATATACATTTACATCCTTGTAAAGAAGAGATGTTTGTCCTGAAATAAATGCATGTGAATTTCAGTGCCTGAATATGTAAATAGACACCAAAAAAATTTTCCTTTATTAACTGAAATTAACTATAGAGGAACACATGAGAACATCTAATGCAAGTAAAACTGAATTGAGAGGATTAAAATTAGCAGTTACTAAAGTATTACTGAACTCATTAGATCTATTGTTAAATAGGCATAATGTTCTGATTCTCCTTGGTCTGATCTTTATGCATTTGAGTTATGGGAAAAAAATTAACTGATAAATGGCAATATATGAAAATAAATATCAGTAAGAGGCCATGCTGTTTTAGGATGAAAATCCAAAACCTTTAAACTCAAGAAATAGTTTTAAATCTATTTCTCAGTTTGACAGGAGGATGTTATACACAGCATATCCTTCATTGAATGTAAATCTTAATAATCATTTTATTACTCAAATGAAACCTTTTTATCTACTTCATATAATGTTTTTTCTGTAGGGAACAATATTCCTTTCACTGCAATGACACCCATGTATTACAAATGACAATGGGCCTTTAGTTTTAACTATTAGTTCTAGTACAGTCATCCTTCTAGAAGTTACAGTCATTTTATAAGATCATAACAAATTAGGATGTACTACATATTTCGGCAGTTCCTTACCTCTACCGACAAATTTCTTGGCATCTAGTTGGGAGGGAACATGGAGAGTCACTCTTTTGCAGGCATCGCAGGTGAATGTTAAGATCTAAAAAACCAAATCAATATTATGCATAAAAAGATCCTTTTAATATATATGTAGTTTTAATTATAAATTAGTATAATTACAAATTAGTTTTATAATTAGCAAAATAAAATTAAAAACATACATTGGAGTAAGAAATCAGAAAAAACATTGTAAAGAGGTATAGAATACAACAGCATACTGAGTCATGGCTCCCTGGTTCAAAAAAGCATGGAAACTCTGAGAATTCTTAGCCCTCTTGGGCTTTGTTACCTATTCTGTAAAATGGAGTTAGAGGTAACTTCATTAACTAACTCAGTGGGAATACTGAGGAATTAATGACAAGCTATGTGACAGACACTACAAACTATCAGGAAGGTAGCACAGATGTGTAAACAGGAAAGAGAAACGAAAACAAATTAGGGAGACAGCAAAATGGTTCAATTATTTGTCAGTTACTTATGTGCTATGGCACTAAATCAATAATAATCTAAACAAAAACCCAAGGCTTTTAAAGAGAAGCATTAACTCCTTGTCATGGAGTAACAGAGAATTTTTATGTATGACACAAGCAAGCATATAACTTTGAAACATGCATTTATTTTGAAGGTGCATCTTCTTATAAATGAGGGTTAAGGTCATTTCAGAAAATATTTCACTTAAAAATTTTTAATTGAGCAACTGATGGATGGTGAAGCAATTTCAATACAACACATATTTGAATACCCTGAAAATTTTATTTCTGTTCTCTCTGCAACTTTACAATGGATACTTCTGAAAGACCCACAGATTTTTCCTATAGTTTTGCAAAGGCCTTTGACCAAAAGAAGGATAGCTAACAAGCATTTACAGCTATGTACAATGTCTATAAGCATAAAATAATCAAAATTTGGATGAAAATTTGTATTTCCAATACACATTTAATTATCCAATTTAAATTATACATGGAGGGTTAGGCAAAGCAGAGATTACATTTCACTTGGGAATTAGGATGGACATAATGAAGAGACTATATTTGAATCGGAAATTAAAAGCTGAGAAGAATTTTCACTGGCTACATAGTCTAGAGAGACTAGGAGTAGAATAAGATGGCTAAGACATCCAGCTTGGGTGACTGAAAGCATATTACCTAATTATTCATTCAACCAACATTTATTTGTTGCTTATGAGGTGCCAGGCAGTGTTTAAAGGCTACAGGAAACAAAGTAAAATCCTTGACGTCATGGACAGTGGGTTATAGTGAGATAAAAATATAAACACTCGAGAGTTACATAATGGCAAAGTACATCACACATAAAGGTCACATAAGGCCAAGAGATAAGTGTTATAAGAAAAATAAAGTAGGGAGAGAGGGCGACAAAGGCAAGACCAGAAGCCTGAAAGAAATGAGGGAATGAGCCAGCTCCCTAACTAGGGAAGCGTCTTCCGCGTGGAAAACAAAAGTCAGAACAAAGGCCCTGGAAGGCGATTCCACCTGGCACGTTGGAGGAACAAAAAGGAGATCACAGTAATAATGCACAGTGAGGGGAGAGGGATGTGAGATGATACTAAGGGGATGATCAGGGGTATACCACATAAGGTCTAAGAGGCCACGGTAAGGAGTGCAGATTTTATTTTGGGAGCAAAGAGAATTACCGGTAGGTTTAGAAGTGTGTTGTGGCATAATGCGGAGGGCGTTTACATAAAATCATTCTGGTGACTGTGAGCAGAGACCATAAAGGAGCAAGGGTGGAAGCAAGCCAACCAATGGAGAGGCTGCAGCAGAAATCCAAGAGCCGGAGAACAGGCCCTGAGACTAAAGAAACAATGGAGGAGGTGACAAATGGCCGCTTGAGACAAACAGTATAACAGTATCCTGGACATCCATCCATTCACACCTTCAACAAGTATTTACTGAATGTCTACTAGGTACCAGACAAGGAGCAGTAAACACTCACAAAACATACACTTCAAGGGTAAGACATACATGTAATTTGAATAAACTAGGATAAATGCTATGAGATGGATATATATTTTTTAAATATCCTAAAACATCTAGAAAAAACAGAAGCTAAAACTAGAGCAGAGTGGTAACCAGAAATGACTTCTGATCTGAAAAGATGGGATTCTAGCTTTATGGCCTTCACAGAAGAGAGGGAATCAAAGCGCACACCCTAAATCTAAGGGAAGGGTCACCCAGGGTAGCCCGGGGCCCCACTGCAGAGCGATCTAGCTGGATGGGTTTGTGATCCAGCTTCACATCACTCTCTTAGTCTAGGATCAAATCTGGGAACCCTAAGCCTTTCGTCAGTGTAAAGAAGCCTGGCATGTGATCATCGCCGTAAATGGTGAAAGACATCTGACCAGATTCAATTTAGATCTTAAAAAATAATGCTCCCTTATGATTAGCATGTATAAATGTGGGTGTGGGGGCACAGGGAGGGCTGTGCAACAGAGAAGACAAGTAGTGATTCTACAGCATCTTACTACGCTGATGGACAGTGACTGTAATGGGGTGTATGTGGGGGAGATGGTGAAGGGGGGAGCCTAGTAAACATAATGTTCCTCATGTAATTGTAGATTAATGATACCAAAATAAAAAAACTAAAAATAAGATTTAACAAAACAAAACATTGCCCCCTAAAATAGGGATTGGTAAGGTCTTCTTCAATATGATTTTTACATTATTTTATAATAACAACATCAATGAGAAAGCCCTAGTGGCCACCACACTGGACTCAGAGACAGGAGAGGCTTCCAAGAGCATCAATACAGCATTGCAGGAACTGCGTTTGACAAGAGGAAGGTATAGATGGTATACAAATTGGAAAGAAAAAGGTAAAAAAAGTAAGTCTCTTTGTGTTCAATATGACTACCTGGAAACCCAAGTAAATCAACCAATAAATTACTACAATAAGGGAGCAGAAATAATTATTAAAATACAGAAATCATTAGCCTTCATACATTCACAATAAAACCAGTTAAATAATATAATGGAAGAGAAGGAGTAATTTTCAAAAGCACTACCAAGTTACAATGCCAAGGAGTAAAGTTAACAAGAAACACACAAGGCCTATTTGAGAGAAATCTGAAACCATTTCTGAAAGATACAGAAGTAGATTTACACAAAAAGAGAGGGATATGTCAATATTTAAGGCTGGGAAAATCAACAACATAAATGTGTCAATTTTCACTAGATTAAATTATACATTTTGTGATCCCACTAAAAATCCCAACGGTATTTTTTCTGGAACTAGACTTGCTGATTTAAAAAGTCATAAGGAGTGCTGGGCAGGATGGGGGGAAAAGAAGATGGCCCTTCCCTGTTGATGGGAATGACAACAGTGCAGTCACTATGGAAAACAGTATAGAAGTTCCCCCCAAATTAAAAACAGAGCTACCATATGACCCAATCTTCCACTTCTGAGAATTTACACAATGAAAACAACATCACTAATTTAAAAAGATACATGCACTCCTATGTTTATTAGCATTATTAATAATAGCCAAGATATGGAAGCAACCTAAGTGTCCATTGATAGAGAATGGATAAGGAAGATGTGGTACATATACACAATGAAGTATTATTCACCCATAAAAAAGAATGAAATCTTTCCGTCTCCAAGAACATGGACGGACCTAGAGAGCATTACACTAAGTGAACTAAGTCACACAAAGATAGATAAATACCATATGGTTTCACTTTTATATGGAATCTAAAAAACAAAACAAAACAAAAACCAAATAGAAATAGACACAGCAATACAGAGAATAAACTGGTGGTTGCTGTAGGGTAGGTGGTAGGGGAAGGGTGAAATAGGTGAAGGGAATAAAGAGATGAAACCTGCAATTATAAAAGAAATAAGTCGTGGGAATGAAAAGTACAATGTAGGAAATATAGTCAATAATATAATAACAACTTTGTATGGTGACAGGTGGTAATATACTTATAATGGTGAGCATTTCATAATGTATATAATTGTCAAATCAGTGTGTTGTACACCTGAAACCAATATAATACTGTATAACAACTATACCGCAATAGATAAACAAATAGTCATAAGGAAAGATAAATAATTAAGAATGGGAAAATTACACAAAAGCAAGGAAAGGATATTAGCCCTGGCAGATGTTAAAAGATCCTGTGAAATCTCAATAATTAAAGCAATGAGGTACTGGTATATAAATAGATAGTAAGATAAGAGATGCATACAAACTGGAAAGGAAGAAGTAAAACAATTTCTATTTGCATTTGATATGACTGTATGCAGTCCACAAAGGTTGTAACAGTTTGTCACAACAGTCCCCGAGAGTTTCTATTTCCCCACATTTTTGCCTACATAGTGTACTGCCACTTATGAATGTTTGCCAAATGAGAAATGACATTTCAATATAGTCTTTTTATGGGCCACTGCTATTATTTTATAGAAATTTTTCTTGCCCATGTTTCATGTTGGACTTCTTGACTTATAAGTGCTCTTGATATATTAGACTAGCCTTTTAAAATATGATCTGCAAATATTTTTTCCAGTTAAGTTATCATTAACTTTGCTTATGATATTTTGGTTTGGCTTAGTTTTTTGCCATAGGGGTGTGTGTGTGTGTGTGTGTGTGTGTGTGCGCTAATATAATTGATTTTCTCAATTTTAATAAGTAGCTTTTGAAATCTGAGCCATAAATAGGTCTTCTTGACTCCAAATTTAAATAGGAATTCACTATGTTTTCTTGTATTATCTGTATGGTAGTATGTTACATTTAAATCTCTCATCTATTTGAAATTTTCTGTGATGTCTACATGAAGCATGAACTCAATTTTTTGTTTTGCCAAATGACTGCCTAGATCAAGTAGTCTCTCACACTTGATATGTACTATACTGATATAATACTATACATATATGTGTGTGTGTGTGTGTGTGTGTGTGTGTGTATGGAGATACATATCTCCACATCCTCAGTGATGTGAAAACAGCTTTCAGTCAAATCACATAAAACCTTTATGGAGGAAAGAGGGAAGCGAGCTGGTAATATCTACCAAAATTATAGTCATTTATACTTTTATCTGACCCTAGTAATCTATTCTCCTGATACACTTGCCCATATATGAAATGACATATGGACAAGTTTACATATTTGGGATATTATTTGTAATGGCAAAAATAGCAGAGGTGATGGATAGAACTAATGATATCCATGAGATATTTCTTAATGTAGATTTAATTGGACTAAATGATGGATTAGGGGAGGAGTGCAGTGAGGAAAACAAACAGCTTCCAGACTTCTTACCTGAGGAACAAGGTGTATGGTAGTGTCATCTAGTGCAGTATAGGACACTACTAGAAAAGCAGTGTTGGGAAATTAAGAGCTGTGTCACACATCATAGTACTTAGAGAAATATAAAGGCCTATTGTTCAAGGAAGGCAGCCAAATTCTGAATGGTCAGGAAGGTCAAAGATGCATGAATTTCAAGAACAAAGGGACAACGTACAAGGCAGAATTGTATAGGAAATGGTTTGGATTTAGCAATGGAGATCCCTGACTCTTTTAGAGAAAGACAAGTTTCCTTAGGTGTTTAGGCAGAAGCCAGAGTTCAAGTGGTTAAGACATGTGAAGTAAAACAGTATCAGGAAAGTGGGAGCAGCTCATTTGTGGAATGGTGAGGGATTACTTGGGCATATGGGGAGGGGAAAATGTAGAAGGTGCCTCCCCAAGTTATTCTTATTTAATCATATCTTCTACACAAATGTTCTTTACACATGCACACACTTGAGGCCTACAATAGGCAACCACCATCTGAGCCTGGCAGGGCTTTGCACAAATACGCACATAAGCATCAGAACACCTTGAAGAATTCACTCCAAGCCTTCCAGCTGTCATGCACCAACAGGAGGGATGCAGCCAGAGCCCAGCACTTTTCTATCTACCCCACTTCTGGCCTATCTAGCAACCAAGCATGGAGAATTATTCCATTTTGGTTTATTCACTTATACCCGATTTATTTTATACAGGATCTGTAATAACAGAAAGTTCTGTGTATACACACACATGCAATGTAATGTTTACTGCCCAAGATAATCACCCCTTTCCTTCAAAGAATGGCCAATAGTTTAAAAAGAAGTGGCAACTTCATTAGGAATCTAGCCAAAATTCAGTCCTTTGTCATCAGCTACGTATTTTATGACCGTTTTTTATTTCAGTCTTGGTTTCCTCAACTGTAAAATATTCTCCACTGTGTGCCTGGCTATTCTCTGTAATTAGTGGGCCCTGGGAATGACAAGGGTTCGAAGTCCATGGAGTCCTCGGTAAAGACCTTCTAATGATATTCTACGACAACCACAATTCCGTTACTTAGAAAGTTAGGGCGGAGAACTGGAAATCATCCGAATTACTTCAGCCCCCATTCCCACCGCCCCTGCATGTTCCGGTGTCCGTTCTCCAGGCGCGGCCGTTATCCTCCCGGGTAGATCTGAGCTCCAGCGCCCGTGGCTCAACGTTAGAGTGTCTTTAGCTCCACGTCTGTTTAGCTTTCCTCCTCCCGGGGCCTCAGAAGTCCGGGCTGGGGAACCTCTGACCCCAAACTCTCTGAGGGCGGCCTCCCTGCCTGCAGTCCCGGGCCTTCGCGCCCCCGGTGAGCTGCCGGTCCCTCCACCAAGGGGGCCATCCGCGGTAGCTCCTACTTGGCGGGGTGGGGGCGTCGCAACCGTGTTCCCTGAAGTGGGAAAGAGGCTCCGGCGGGAGGGCAGGGCCGGGAGATCCCGACGCCCGCGGGCCAAGGATCCGGACGATCGCTTCCCCGCGGGGACGGACAATGGAGACTAGGAAGGGTCACCTGGGCCCGCCACCTACGGCCCTGAGGAGGGGAGATCGCGTTCACCCCCTCCCGCCACCTTGCACTCCAACCCCCACGCAGAAAGCCGTCCCGGGAGCGGTGCGGGGCCCTCCTCCGCCCGGGGCCGTGCGCTCCCCGCGGCTGCGGCCGGGCGCCCGGGCAGCAGCGGGCGGCGCGCCCCCGGGACTGAGAGGCGGGGGACGGGCGGCGGGACGGCGTGATGCGGGGGAGGGGACCCGGGGGGAGCAGCCGGGCGCGGCTCCCACGGGCGCCCCGAGGCCGCAGCTGTGCGCTCACGTCGGCGGCCTCCGGAGATCCCCTCCCCTGCCCTGGGGCCGCCGCCTCCCGGGCCTCCGCCACCCGCCCGGGGCTCACGGAGCGCCCTACCCGGCGGCCCTGCTCCAGCCCCGCGCCCCGCGGACGGCCTGGCGGCCACTCACCGAGAGAAGCAGCAGGAGCGGCGGGCGCCGCGCTCCGCCCGGGGCGGCTGCCATGGGCGCGGGACGCAGGCCGCGGAGAGGCCGAGCTGAGACGCGAGCCGCTGGTCTGGCGCGCCGGCCCCCTCCGCGGGGCTTTTCCCCGGCCGGGGGTGGGGCTCCGGGCGCGGCCCCGGGGCACCTGCCGGCCCCTCCTGGGAGCGGCCAAAGACCTCACCTCTCGGGAGCGCCTGCAGGCGGGCCGCCGCCGCCCTGGCCCTGCGAGCTGCGCCTCCGCGGAGCTCTGCGCGCGGCGCCCCGGGGCTGGGGGCGGGGGTCCAGCCGGCTGCGCGCCCCGCGGCTAGCGCGTGACTCCGGGCGCCGTCACTCCCGGGCTGGGCTCCCCGAGACCCCGGGGGCTGCTCGGGGAGCGCCTGCAGCGGGGCACACCTATCTCTGGAGGCTGGTTTTGTTCTTGTGCTTTTTAGTAACACCGTGGTCGGTATGTCGATGATACAAGAAAATTACCATCAAAGACAATAATTAATAAATAAGTACAGGGCCTCCCGGCTACAAGAAAACAATAAAATCAGGGTGAGTTGCTCCGGGAAATGTATCTCTTGAGGTCCTAGTCTGGCTACATGCGGGCCACCGATTCCGTCCGAGACCCTCCCCTGCCGCAGCTGAAGCCAGCCGCCGGCCTTCTCCTGACTCATCTCCCGAAGCGGAGCCCTTGCGGTTGCTGGACGCCTCTCTCTTCCTTTCCTGCCACCACAACCAGAGGTCATGGGAAGAAAAGGAAAAGAATGGGATAAGATTGACCTTTTGGGTTGACGTGTACTTAAACTGAACGAATAATTGCGGCACTTAACCTGGAAGATGGAAATACAAAAGTGGTGTGTGCGCAGCAGCTCTTCTGAAAACAATGACAGGCCATTCTGACTCAGCTCCAGCAACTCTTCAATCACTAGCTGAAACCAGGAAGTCTGACCACCGAGGAAAAGTGAAGAAGTGTGTCTGCTCCCCTTTGTTTGGTTTGGAGACACCTGCCCATGGTTGAAGGCATGCACCATCCCAGCACCATTACACACAGAGCCAAACTTATTGTAATAGGGACCATATGTTTCAACTCAAAAGTAATGCCAAACAGTACATGACTTCCAGTCTATGTATTAGTCCCATGTTCTGTTAGTGAATAAGATATAATGAGCTGACTGTTGCCTCCAATTCCATAAAATTTATCATTGAACCTTTGCCAGTTAAGTAGACCCCGGTGGTCAGCATGAGACCATAGCTGACATGCATCTGTTCCCATGTTTTTAACCCTCATGTTTTCTGGCAATGATTTCATAAACACACCTCATCTTCATCATCTTATTAGTGATGATGTTATGATCTCTAACGCAAAGCTTTACAGAGAACACAGAAGCAACCAGTTTCAGGTTGGAGAAATCTACTCAGGCTATCATCATGATCTTTGACAATAGGACATTTCCAAACGCTTGCCTACCCTTTAACCCCTAATGCCTTAAGGGTAGCTCATGTTTTTCCTCATTCCAGAAAAGGGTGGAAGAACCATTTGGAAAGAATTCATTTTAGGTTTTTTTTTTTCATCTTTCACACTAGGTAACTGCACTGAGGCTATTAAAATGTTCATATTTTTTTTATTTTTATTGTGAAATTGAAACAAAGGAATAAAATATAAACTACTTAACACTAAACAAGCGGCCCAATTTATCCAATGTATTTCAAATGGATTCCTCTATAATACCATTTTGAAACAACAGGTAAATTTGAAGACAATAAAATGTGGGTGGGTAATATCTTGAGGCTGTGAAAACGATTCTGCTGACTTGAGCTGGTTTTCCATTGGGCCACAGGAAATTGTGCACCAGACAAAGTCAGGAGTAACTTCCAATTGTTCAGATCATAACTTCTTGCGGACTTCCTTACCTTGGCTTTTCTTTTTCTCTTATACTCTCAATCCAATCTGTCAGTAAATCCTGTGACTGGCTGGCATCCATCCCCTCCTCAGCATCTCCCTCCTGGTCTAAACCGCTGGCATCTCTCACCCGAGTGACTCAAACAGCCTCCTGATTGCTGCCAACCCTCCTCACTTCAGTTTGTTTCTGACCCAGCAGGCAGATCGACAATGGTGATAATTACGTTTCTCTACCCAGACTCCTCCAGAATGATTCTAAAATGAAAAGATTTTTTTAAAACATCCCCCACAGGCTTCTCGTTTCATTTAGATCAAACCAAAATTTTCCCAGTCGTCCACAGGGCCTTACACACTCCATCACGTATCTCTCTTGACTGCTCCATCCTACCGTCTGTCTCTTGTATTTTACTTATTTTTTTCCTTGTTCTATCTGTATTAGAATGTCATTGTTATGAGATCTTCTTACATTGGTCTCCATTTCCAGGGCCTAAGCTGTGCCTGTCGCAATGCAGACCCTCAGTAAATATTTGTTGAGTATATGTACATATGTGTATATGTGTATATATATATATCTCCTATCCAGCTAATTATATAGAATAAATAACAAATTATAATGCTTCTTTGAGATAATCTTAAGTAAAATATTGGTTATAAGCAAACCTGAAGTTTACACTATGCCACCTGGGAAGGAACTCCATGTAGAGGCTGTTCTTTGGAACAATTGAAAATAGGACATGAGAGTTATATGTAATTTCCAGTCACAGAAAGCATATGGAAAGCATTAATAAATAGAGGTCATAAACAGGAGGCTTAAATTGAAAATAATAAGTCCCCTAATTCCTAATTACACACACTAATTTGCAATTAAGCTGCATTTCATACGAACAATTCAAGATACCTTGTGCCAGAGAAAGTAATACAGGGTTTAATTTATTTAACTATGGTTAATTTTTCCATCTCATCAGCTTTGGGGAAGCCAACTAATACATATGAATAGATTTAGAGATAGATAATGATAGATAGGTAGACAGATAGATAATTATAGATGATAGACAGAGCAAGCTATAGGTATAGATAGATAAACAGATGAAGATTAAATGGTTACCAGGGCAGAGTGGTAGCGTAGGTGGGAAGATGCTGGTTAAAGGGTAAGATGAATAAGCTCTGGGGATCTAATGTACAGCATGGTGACTATAGTTAATAATACTGTGTTGTATACTTGAAATCTGCTAAGAAAGTAGTCTTAAGCATTTTCACTACACACACACACACACATACACACAGAAAGGTAACTATGTGAGTTGACTGATTTGTTAACCAGATTATGGTAATCATTTGCTAAAGTGCATGTATATTAAATCATCACATTGTACACTTTGTATATATAAATTTTACTTGTCAGTTATACCTCAGTAAAACTGAAAAAGAAAAGAAACCTAAACCCAGTCATTCCCCAAACATGTACTGGCTGGCCGCTGTGTTCCTGTTGACAGCCCACCTCACCCGGGTCCCGTCTCAGCAGGGTGGGCTTTCTAGGAGCCACAGGCAACAGGACAAAACCCTACTCAGCACTTCGATCTCCTCTAACCTTTTCAGGAGGCATTATTAATACACAGCAACCATCCCTAAAATTGTTTCTTCCCCTGGCTAACCTCAGCGTACTTTGTACAGTTTCTTGCTGCGCCTGAAAATTTAAATGCACCTTTTTCCTACTGCTCAGTTTCTGTTTCTCAGCACAAGCCATCACCACGTGACCTAAACTAAGTCACCTTCTCATTCTCTTCACTCTCCTTTTCTCTCTTCCCTTCTTTGCCATTTCTTATACTTGAAATGTAATTTGCATCCTTCTTTCTCACAGTCTCTTTATTTCACTCAGTAGTAGTGCTCACCCGTGTATTATCAATTAGCTTGATTTTCATAACAAAACCGTAAGGGTGAAACATAAGAGTTAGGGTGAAGAGGGGGACCATGAGGGGAGAAGGAAAGAGGTGTAGGGGGAATATCCCACCTATCCTCAGTGTGCAGAGGAAAGGAAAGATGCTTTGAATATTCATACAGAAAAAAACATATTTATATCACTAGTTGCTTGGATGGAGAGCTAAATAAAAAGCTGTCCCTGAACTGAACAGCTTTTGGGATTTGGGATGGATTATGTGGATAAAAAATAATAGGGAGCTGGGGGTGGGCAGCATCAAGTCTGTCCTTTCGTTCCAACTGCGAGACAGGACGTGCCTTCCTGGGATTCCCACAAATACCTCACGTTCAAAATGCCCCAACCTGAAGCCCCTATCAGTCCAGAGCAACACGGCTGTGCCTTTCTCATTGCTGCAGTTAAGTTTCTGAACCCCGCTGCCTGCCGAGGAGGAAGCAAGGAGTCACCCTGGAGCCCCCCTTGCCCCCTCCCACATGCCATCTGCTCCAGGCTCACCGCTGTCCTTGATCCTCACCCTCATCCGGACCACGTCCACTGGGCTTCCAGGCCACCGCGCCTCCAGCCCAGCCTCCAAAACAATGATTCTCAAATTGCGGTTTGGGGAACTCTGGTGGTTCCCCTGTTTCTGCTTGTTCTGTTTCGCTTTGGGTTGTTTGTTTTGCCTTCTTTTGCTTTGGGCATCCTGACTTCCCCTTCACCCAGAACGCCTCCTTCCACCCCACTCAGGGCGTCTTTCCTGCCGCCCCAGCAGAGGGGGAAGGCCTTCCAGCCTTCTGCCAGCGTGCAGGTTGGAGACGTGCCTCTGCCATCCGTCAGCGGACCAGAGGGTTATGATGACTTAGTTCTCACACCGGTCTCCTCTGGAGTGCTTCAAATTTGAAGGCCATCTGGCCTGAGTATGTAATCAAATTTTAATTTCTTAATAGAATTGAGGTTTAATTTATGTGACTTTTCAAATAAGTTTTTGTTCTGAAATATCTTACACAACTTGACAAATGGAAGATCATATATACAGTCCTGCTCTATATAGTCTCTTAACTGTTATACAAGGAATTAGTATTTTGCTAAGAATCATATTGAGCTAGAAATATTAAGGATAAGAGTTAGTATTCCTTCTGTATATTTGCCCCCAGATTATCTCTTAACATTATTAAACATCTTCCTTAGTATTACGGTTTCCTGATTTGTTCAGCTGAAAACCATATTTCTCACATTTTCTTGCACATAGGGATGGACATGTGACTAAGTTCTCCCAATGGTATGTAGGCAGAAGTTGTTGCAGGGAGCTTCTGGAAATGCCTCCTAATGTCTTCCCCTTTCCTTTTTTTATGCTCTAGACATAGATGTGATGTCTGGAGTGTTATTAGCCATCTTGTGATTGTGAAGCAGTTTGTACAAAGAGAGCAGAAAAGTGAAGGCTCCTGAGACACTGATGACATT